TTATTTCCGATAATATAAAAAATTGAATATTAATCACTTTGTTAAATGATCATAAAACAATCCTGTTCGTGCCGAATGTGTCATTATATCTCGGTTACCAATTATGGCATTATTAGCATCATATGATGATGAATTCTCGACATTCTCAAAACGATTTCGCATAATTTCTCGTGTACCACTAACTGGATAATCATCAGCATTTCCGATTAAAATCTTAATGAGATTACATTATTTCCCAAATGCAATACTGCACTCATTACTTGACAGATTAAAATTTTTTAAAAACTATAATGCTCTAAAAGAAGTGAAAAAGAAACCTGTTTTACATCAGTGAAGTCTGCTTGCATCGGTATAGCAACCGTTGTGTTGGTATTTGCAATCGTAGAGGTAGTAGTAGTAGTAGTAGTATGATTGACCCGACGATTGTTGCTAATGTCTGCAATGACATTTGTAATCGTTGTACTACTATTACTAGCTGATGTCATCGAAGATGTGGTACCAAGAACACGTGCTGTTACAGTTTGACAATCCGAAAAACTGATAGGTGATCGTGGTGGTGATATTTTAACAGGTAACTTTTGAGGACTTCGTATGAGATGCGATGAACCCGGTTGTATAACGTTTCCTTGACGTTTTTGTCGTTGAAGAGTGGTGATGGGTGATTGTTGTTGTTGTTGTTGTTGTTGTTGTTGTTGTTGTTGTTGTTGTTGCACGTGGGTTAACTGAGATTGATCAGATTTTGTTAGTGAAATTTGTGATTGATCTATGATGGAACGATTAGAATTGTTAGTGGTAACAATGAAATTAGTTGAATCGCTTTCTGTTGTTGGAAAAGGTTTATCCATGTCGTAATTGTTATGTCGACGAGGTAATGTAGCCCATGGTACTATAGCTGTAGGTGTCATATCAAAGTGATAATTATGATGAAGTAGTGATTGTTGTGCGATTGGGTTAACAGATGAAGAAGATGCACACGTAAATTGTAAACGTGAGGAATACTGTGATAAAGGCTCACAAGGATGAATATTGTGATAGAAATTGCTTCTTGGTGCTGCTAACATTCCAGCAGCGGTAGCAGCAGCAGCAGTTGGTGGAGGAGAAACAATAGCTGGTGATGGTGGTGGTGGATAGTTTGATAGGTGTGATTGAATTGGTCGATTTGATCGTGGATATTGTACATCATAGCAGCTAGTTAGCTGAGAATCAAAGTTTGATCTGAAAAAAAAAATTTTCTTTTTTTTACATTAATTCTTTCCTATATTATCGATTTAAAATGGCAAATTTCATATAAAAAATTCTGATAGGAGAAAAATTTTGAAATTGAATAATATAATTGATGAATTAATGTAAAAAAGTTAACTTACTTCATGAGAGAATCGTTATTTTCCAGCTGTAACTGTGACCTTGTGAAATATTCATTGGTTGAGTAATCCTAAAAGAAAAAAAGTAAGTTAAATTTTCTTTCAAAGTTCCAAAGAGACAGTAGCAATTTGATTGAAATTATTAATGGTTTAAATGAGAAGTAAACAATTTCGTTAGCATTGTAGAAAGCATATAAAAATTCACCCCTTTCAGTGAATCAACATCAGAATCACTCTGATTTTGAAAACTATGCATGGGTAGCAATATCACATCATTTAAATTGGTAAGTGGTCGAAATTCCGGCATCCATACTCGACGATCTTGCAAATGAGCAATTAGCTGTAACAGTGCTTCAAACCATCCATCTTCTTTTGTTGCATCTAATGTTGCTGAATTTAAAAATTTCTGTAGATTAATCTAATGCAAACTGCTAATACGATCATAGCAATAATTTAGCATTTATAAAAGCATAGCCCAAAAGTTTTAAATAAATTTATTTGTGGTCAAGTAAATTAAATAAATCTAAACTACAATTAGGCAAATCATTAAATCAATTTAAATAGAATGCATTGCTTGATTTGATTTTGATCGTAAGATCAATAAGCAATCATGTTATGATTTATAAGATTTTTTTTTTAAATCTTAAACATACCTGTCAAAAGATATGAATAATGCTTCTTAATTTTGTGTGCTTGTTCAACGAGTTTTTTCGATGAAATAGCAGAAACGCCAGCCTTACTCCTAAGTTCACGTATTCTACTTCGACTTTCAACATCAATGAAAATAACAATTGGTGCATACTGTGCAAGTTGCAAACGTTCCACTGATCCTGGACTAATATCCAATACACAATGCTGAAAGCAGCAATAAACAGTAATGAATTTTAATTCCTTCCATTAAAATTTCCTATTAAATTCTTTTTAAGATGCTTAAAAAATAGCTGCCTTAATGCTTCAAAGTGTCAATTTCTTATTTCGCTCATACCTTATTTGCAGCAATAACGGCATCGATTGCACTTAATCGTACGATACTTTCATCGATAACACCCGCAAAACGAAGAGAAAAATTGGCTAGCAATCGTTGTCGAGCAATATCTGCTAATGGGCCAAAAAGTACCAGAGGCCTGGAATACAATTTTCAGCAATTATGAATAACTTTAACAAATAGGTTTTCGAATATAGACTGAATAGGAATAAGACTAACAGACTGAAGAGTGATAAAATTGATAGATTGAAGAGTAGTAAGACTGATAGACTGAACAGTGATAAGACTGATAATACTGAAGAGTAATAATACTCTAAAATTTTTCCAATTATAGATGGCATATAGATAGTTTAATCAAAATCACCCATGAAATCTGTCAATTTATGAATACATTTAATTTTTTAAGACTTAAGTTTTAGATTAAAACTTATGAAACTGACCTCTGGAACTGTGGATGTCTCAGTGTAACTCGTTCATAAGCAGGAAAAGCCATATCACAGGTATTCTCAAAGGTTACATCATCCACTACATTCTTTGTTAACGATTTCGTTCGTCGCTCTTTCAATTTTCGGCGGAAAAAAGTCGAACGACCAAATGTCATTGTGTCAGCACGTGCCGCTTTTGCTAATTTTTCAGCTCTGAAAAATTATTTGTTTTCATGAAATTCTCAAAAAATGTTTCCACTCGTAAAAATTTGAATACTCAAAAAAAAAAAAGTTTAACAAGAAGAACTATAATTTTTATTCGATCAAATTATATGTTACGAATAAAAATTGTGCAAAAATTAGATCAATCAATTACAATAGAATACTCAGAAATCTATGAATTGATTTTAATTATCTTTTTTTTTTCCATACATTTATGAATCAATTTTAATCAAATCACTATCTTTGCATATATCAAAATAAATGTTTTCAGAAAATTATAACTTTTTTTTTAAAAAGATTTAAAAGCTTTAAATATTTAAAATGTCTTACGTTTCTGAATTCGGTATGACACCTTTATTGCTATCATTTTGAGTGTAATTTCCATTTTCAGCTGCAGAATATACACGTGTTGCTTGCCAAAAGCCAACTGTTCCACCAAAAAGCGTATCAGTGATATGAAAAATATCACCATTATGAAATGATAATTCCAATTGATTGGACGATTTCTGATGGGCAAAATGAGTTCTGAAATTTGTACATGTGAGTGTAAGAGAAGGTCAATCATTTTGAATTTAATCAAACTATTATTTTTACTATCATTCTAAGATTAAAAATATCTACGATCAGAAATCAAATTCTCAATCTGACGACTGAGAATTTAAAAAAGGAAAAAAAAGAAACACAGATAAAAACACGGAAAAAAGAAATATTTGTTTTTTTTTCACCGATAAAGTTCAACATATTATTTAATGATCAAGAATAATTTGTTTCATTATTTAAATTTATGAATATGAAATGTTAAAAAAAAAGATAAGAAACAAAAGAAAATGTAATTTGAAAAGGAACCTTATATAAAAATTATCTCCCAATGGTCCATTTCTGATTCTTTCAAAATCTGCTGCTGCATATTCCACTTTAATCGTTACATCATCTTGCAGTGCTAACAAATGACGAACAGCCTGTAAAATATTTCAAAAAAAAAAAAAAATTGAGTGAAATTTTCTGGTGCAAAAAGCAAAATGCACAAATTTGCATTATTAGCATTATGTAAATGATTCCTGAGAATTGATAATATCAGATCGATGCAAAATGGAAAAAGCAGAATAATTTTATTTTAAAGCATTTGAAAGAAAAAAAAAAGGGATAAGTTGTGTTATCATAAAAATATAAACCTCTTCTCGAGTAACACCAATCATTGATTTCTCATTAACGGATAAAATTCGATCACCCGATTTGATGGAATGTATTGCAGCAGGTGAATCTTCTTGAACAGCTGATACAAAGATACCAACTTGATTTCCTCCAATTACACGAACTCCCAAACTACCTGAAATTAAAATTTGAATTAAATTGCTGGTATTTGAGGTTAAACAATTTTAAAAATATGTTCACTTGAGAAAATTCAT